TTTTTTTTTTTTTTTTTTTTTGAATATTGCGCACAGGGCGCACCTCCCTCAGCGCGCGCACCGCACACAGCGGACCGCACTGCGCACAGCGGACGGCGCACAGTGCGCGCGCTGTCATTCCAGCGCACAGCGCAGTGCGCACCGCCCCGCACTGCGCCGTGCACTCGTGCGCCCGAACTATGGCAGTGGCTCATTGGGCACTTCTCAACGACTAAAGATATTTACATGACGACATAAATATGGTCATAGAGAACTGCCCAGTGAACTGTTAGCAAAGAAGGAGAAGAGGACGACGATATATATTTGTACCTACATCAACATTGCGACCCTTGTATGCGAGAGGCACAGCGAAGGGGGATCTTGACAAAGAATATAAAAGAGAAACCATGGAAAAGGCCAAAGGGAAAGAAAAGAAAGAACTTCACAAGACAAGGCAAAAGAACGGCTTCAGTGCTGTGTGTGTGTGTGTGTGTGTGTGTGTGTGTGTGTGTTCAAAAGGATCTTTGCCTTTTGGTTTATAGCAAGCTGTGGGTGTTTCTCTCTCTCTCCACCTCTCCCTCTTGATCGCCTCAGCCTGTTTCCTTTGCATAACTAGAGGTGTTAATATTGTGAAGTAAGATGTTAGCAGGGTTAGCTTTCAGCATCAGGTGTCAACTGGAGTATACGTTCGTAAGTCTAATGTTTTCCTTCGGACACAACACGCTGATCACGCATGTGTACCAGGTATCTTTCACGGCCAATAGAGTTGTGATGAGCGTCTCTGGTGTGTTTGGTTTGAAGTTTCTTCTTGTGAAGGGAATAAATACCCAGGAATGACCATATTTCAGGAGTGGAGTAATGGATAGAGGCTGATACGTGTTCAATTCCGCTTTGTGATGACTTTTACTCATTCCCAGTTCCTGCACGATTGAGGCTTGTTGCGCTTCTTGCCTTCCTTCGGCACATGACCCTTCAAGAAGAGAGGTGCAAGGTAATTCTCGGCTCTTCAACTCACAAAGCTCTCCAATTCATACCCTCCCTGTTTGTGTTGGTCTCTCTCTCTCTCTCTCTCTCTCTCTCTCTCTCTCTCTCTCTCTCTCTCTCTCTCTCTCTCTCTCTCTCTCTCTCT